CCCCCCCCCCCCCCCCACACACACACACACACACACACATAACTCATCGTTCTGACAGTTTTGTCAAAATCTTATTGGAGCTAACCGAGTCATCCAAGACCTCACTAACTCCCACACCTGAACCTTTGCCTCAGCAACCACGTGGTCTGCCAATATGAACCTTAGCTGCCACGGGAGTCCTACCAGCCAACAAGGTAATTAACTTCATGACCTCCCTCAGACAGGGTGTCCAACACAGCATTTGAGGACAGCCGCCATGAGAGGCACCAACAACCTCACCGACAGTCGCAGCTCAAGACAGCTGCCTGGACAATGGAGGAGCAGCGCACTCAAGGTCAGAGTTGAAGGAGTCTTCTTCCACTTAGTGTTTGGTATGTACATGTTTTGTCTAGTTTATGTTATGTTAGGGAAAGTACAGCAGACAGAACTTTAGTAGACAAAGTGTTTATTTTAGAAAAATAATTGACCAAGAAATAATTCAGATGTCTCTCAGGGTTTAGAACAAACATTTTCACAGAAGGTGTTGAATGAAGTGTCTTAACATTTCTGTCAAATCTTACCATTTGTTCCAATAATCAACAAAAACACTGAAAAGATACAGAACACAATGTATTACTCCCCAACATTCCAACATCTGTGTATAAAAACATGTTATGTCGGGACCACTGTTGACAGTAAACATCTTCATTGCCTCTGAACAGGTGAAGTCTCTACTGGTCCTGCCAGAACCACATGGTGGTCTTCTTCCTCTGTGGAGTTTTAGCTTTGAGAGGCTTGCTGCATGATGAGCGAGCACAGACTCAGTATCTGCAGGTATTCATCTGCTCCATCTGCCAGGCACTTCCCCACCACCTGAAACACAGCATGCACAAGGGCAAGGCATTATGGGAACTCTTTACGAGACTCATCACCACGCTGTGATCATGTCAGAACTGCATGTTGGTTATCACCCATCGCTGAACGTCATAATGCCTCTGACTAGCATGTCATGAAGCACGCAATGGATTTTTTAAAAGTATTTTTAATTAAAATTTTCAATGATTAATTAGTGTAGAGGTGTTGAGAACAGAATGAGATGAAGGATGACTCGCTGTGGAGACCCCTGAAGGGGGAAAAGCCAACGGAAGAAGAATTACAGTGTAGCGCACCAACGGGGTGCCCACGGACACCTGGCCGCCCGAGGGGCATGTTCTAAAAATAGCACTCAACATCAAGCAGCATCGCCTAGAAACCATTATTAATTGTGTTTTTAATTTAAGTAATAAATTTGCATGGATGTAGATTTGAAATGCAAATAAATAATGAAAACTTCCTTTTAGAATAAAAGGTTTTACGTATTCAGCTTAGCAACCTTGTCTGGAGTCAAAGTTCTGAATGATGCGGGGATGCACTGAGACCTCTGCGAGCGGCACAGATACAAATTACACTGTCTGATTTTTAAAAAAAAAGGTCACACTAATATTTCGTTGGACGGCCTTTAGCTTTGATTACGGCATGCATTTGCTGTGCCATTGTTTCGATAAGCTTCTGCATTGTCACAAGTAGGGGTGTAAATCAGCAGCTCTACCACGATACGATATATTGATTTGTTTGTATGACGATACGATTTTTCTCCATATCACAGTCCGTCACGATACGATTTCGATTCTATTCGATTCACACGTCTGCGATCGATATATTGCGATATCAAATGCCCATCTCATTTACATATAAATAAATTTACAAACATTCTAATATGATTTAACCATTTTCCATCCATCCATCCATTATCTTTACCCGTTTATTCCATTTTGGGTCACGGGGGTCGCTGGTGCCCATGTCCAGCAATCACTGTGCGAGGGGCGGGGTACACCCTGGACGGGTCGCAAGTCCATCACAGGGCCTGATTTAACCATTTTATTTCTGTTATTACAGGCACCAGGCATTTAAATTAAAAAACATTTTTTTCTTAATGAATGAAAAAATAAAAATAAATGACCTGTTCAGTATAGTCTCACATTTCTCATGTTTAAATGCATTTTTAAACTAGTCAACTTAAACGTGCACTGATTATATTTCAGTTATAAAGAAACAAAAATAGATATTGAGCTTACATAACATGGCTATCAATGCTGTGTTTCTTCTTCAGGTGAACGGCAACATTTGTTGTTTCCAGAGTATTTTAACTCACACAGGCACCTGTTGCATACGACATGAGTTTTGTCTGTTGAGCCGTCCTTCTGTTGGAATCCAAAATATTTCCACAGTGTTGATTTAAATCCAGCAGGAGAGTGAATTTCATTATCTGTGTTTTCTGCCTCGTCTGCCATGTTGCTGAGGCGGCCGCAGAGGCACGGAAATGGTGACACAGACGCGCCTTGCGAATTTCAAAATAAAAGTGTATTTTAAAGATGACAATATGAATCAATGTTTTAGCGTTGCCACAATATAATTGAATCATTAATCATTTAATCGATATATCAATTTAAATTGACGTATTGTTACACCCCTAGTCACAAGATCAATTTCCATCCAGTGTTGCATTAATTTTTCACCAAGATCTTGCATTGATGACTAGACACTAGACATGATGGGTGCATCACTTCACCTGCCTCTCTTCATACCCTGATGCACCCATCACTCTGGAACAGGGTAAATCTGGACTCATCAGACCACATGACCTTCTTCCATTGCTCCAGAGTCCAATCTTTATGCTCCCTAACAAACTGAAGCTTTTTCCCAGTTTGCCTCACTGATTAGTGGTTTTCTTAAGACTACACAGCTGTTCAGTCCCAGTCCCTTGAGTTCCTTCACATTGTTCATGTGGAAATGTTCTTACCTTCACTATTAAACATAGCCCTGAGTGCTACTGTTGTTTTTCTTCGATTCGATTTCACCAAACGTTTAAGTGATCGTCGATCACGATCATTCAGGATTTTTTTTTCCAGCCACATTTCTTCCTCAAAGACGATGGGTCCCCACTATCCTTCCAGTTTTTAATAATGCGTTGGACAGTTCTTAACCTAATTTTAGTTTCTACAATCTCTTTCTACAAAAAAAAAACAAAAAAAACTTACTGCCATTTTCTCAGTGATGGACGACTTTTGTTGATCGTTTATGTCTTGTTCCAAGATGGAGTCGTGGAGCTGAGTCAAGATCTGTGTGGCGGCGTAACCTTCATCCACCAGGTTCTGGAAGAGACGTTCAAAATGCAGCAGATTAATTAACAGATTCATGATCTCACCTGTATGTAACCTTTCTGTCTGTAAAGGTTCTGTGTCTCACCCTGACAGCCACTTCTAGTTTCTCGAACGTTCCTTTCAAACTAATATGGAGCAAGTCGTCGATCACTTTGGAAGGAACGACCTACAAAACAGTGAAGTGACCGAGTGACAAAACAACTCAAGAACATTTACTGAAAACATCCAGCTCCTTCTTCTATGCTGCAATACAAGAAAGAAAATGTGAGACTCACCCCTGCAATCTCAACGATGACCCCATCAGTGATCTCCTTGTCCGTGCTGAGACGTGCGGCGCTCTGCAAAAAGGTGATAGCTTTCCGAAGGTCTCCCTCCGACAGCTGCACCAGGGCTGTGATGCTCTGTGAACAGAGCGGGTGAAGCTTCTTCAGCTGCAGTCATCAGAGTGTGATTTGTTTGTTTTCGGTCCCACTCAGACTTCTAAACATCTAAACAGATTCCTGCAGAGCTGCGTGACTGAACTGAAAGAACTTCATCAAATAAATGGGGCTGGATTGAGGGTGGGGGCTATAAACTATTTAAGATGCATCAAGATGCAGACATGAACAAGTCGGAATCTATTCAGAAATGTAAATAAAGTGATTATTATTGTTAATATTAATGATGTCCTCCAAAAGGTGAACTCTGAAGTGAGGAAGTGCAGCAACACAAACCCAAACAGCTTCTCTGAGGTTAAAGTGGAAAAGATCTTCCACCCTCCTTGGATGGCATTAATCTGTCCTCCAGCTCTAATGTTAAAAATCTTGGTGTTATTTTTGATCAGGACATCTTTTATCCCCCACATTAAAAATGCTACTAGAACTGCCTTCTTCCACCTGCGTAATATCACTAAAATTACAAACATCTTGTCTAGAAATGATGCAGAAAAACTGGTTCATGTATTTGTCACGTCTAGACTGGACTATTGCAATGATTTATTATCTGGGTGTCCAAATACTTCTTTAAATAGTCTTCATCCATCCATCCATTTTCTTCCGCTTATCCGGGGTTGGGTCGTGGGGGTAGCAGCCTAAGTAGGGAGGCCCAGACTTCCCTCTCCCCAGCCACTTGGACCAGCTCTTCCGGGGGAATCCCGAGGCGTTCCCAGGCCAGCTGAAACATAGTCCCTCCAGCGTGTCCTGGGTCTTCCTCTGGGCCTCCTCCCAGTGGGATGTGTCCGGAACACCTCACCAGGGAAGCGTCCAGGAGGCATCCTAACCAGATGCCTGAACCACCTCAACTGGCTCCTCTCGACGTGGAGAAGCAGCTGCTCTACTCTGAGTCTCTCCCGGTTGATCGACCTTCTCACCCTGTCTCTAAGGGAGAGCCCAGACACCCTGCGGAGAAAACTCATTTCGGCCGCTTGTATCCGAGATCTCGTTCTTTCGATCACAACCCAAAGCTCATGATCATAGATGAGGGTAGGAACGTAGATCGATCGGTAAATTGAGAGCTTTGCTTTTTGACTCAGCTCTCTCTTCACCACGACAGACCGATACAGTTAAGGCTAAAAAGTCTTCACTTAATCCAAAATGCTGCTGCCAGGGTCTTAACTGGAGTTAGTGGGAGAGATCATGTTTCTCCAGTTTTAGCTTCTCTCCATTGGCTCCCTGTCAAATCCAGAGAATTCAAAATCTTACTTCTAACCTACAAAGCTCTCAACAACCTAGCTCCATCTTATATTACAGATTTTACTGTTCCAGATTTTCCTAACAGAGCACTTCGCTCTCAGACTGCAGGTTTACTTGTGGTTCCTAGAGCTTCTAAAAGCAGAATGAGAGGAAGATCTTTCAGTTATCAGGCTCCTCTCTTGTGGAACCAACTTCCAGTTTCTGTCTGTGAGGCTGACACATTGTCCAGTTTTAAGACTGGGCTGAAGACTTTCCTTTTTAAAAAATCTTATAGTTAGGGTTGGCTTGTTATGCTGCTATAGGCTTAGACTACTGGTGGACAAATTGATCTAATTTTCTTAAATGAATTGTTAAAATTGAATAGTATTTATTTGAATTTATTTCTATCTTAACATGTGATTCTCGACCTGCCATTGTGTATCTATTCCTCTCAAACCCAGCCGGTCGAAGCAGATGGCTGTTTGTACTGAGTCTGGTTCTGCTAAAGGTTTCTTCCTCATGAGGGAGTTTTTCTTTTCCACTGTCGCCTTCATGCTTGCTCAAGATGAGAATCTGTGATGGAGTTAAATTCAAAGCGGTCCGCTCCTCAGATAAATAACGCCAAATTATTTTTAAATATGAATGTTTCTGTTCAGTGCTCTGAGACGACTTCTGTTGTGACTTGGCCGCTATATTAAACTGAATTGAGAGACACACTATAAGTTGTGAACGCATTTCCACCTGGAAGGAGAGAAACTGCCGGCTGATGCTGCCACTTACACGGGCAGCATCTGGGCTGCGACTGCAGGTGACTCGGAGGAAGTCTCCTGGATGTCTCAGACTGCTCGATGTGGGCAACAGAATCATGTGTATGGCTCAGGAAACAGGTTTCCAGGCTGTTAACACAAAAAGGGGCCTCAACCTTCAAAAAGAAGCCTTACAAAACTCAGCCTCGCAGCTTGCTGGTCTCTTGATTGGATCTGTCTTGTAATTCTGAGTTTTCAGCTCAGCTCCAACAGTTGCAGCCCAGTGAGACACCACTCTATGTTGGAGCTACAAAACATGACCACTTTTGTCAAACATACTAACAGCTCTACAACGGCACCCAAAACAAAGTGAGGAAAGTGGGTCAGACAGCTCAGATCTTAGGTCTCAGTGTGTTGACTCTTCATGAAAAGCCACCAGGTTTTCAGAACCATTGTAGGCGTCTCCTCTACCTCCTTGGTGTACTTGAGGTTCTCCTTCTCACAGATCCCCAGCAGACGCTCTTCTTGGATCTTATTGGCCAAAGGTTTGAAGCGAAACTTGGAACACCTGGATGTGAGCGGCTCGATGATCCTATAAGGCGACGAGACATAAATCAGGGTCAGGGTGAGCCAATCAGAACGCAGCGTTGTGTGCGTGGGACCTGCAGTGGTCAGCTGACCTGCTGATGTAGTTACAGATGAGACAGAAGCGAGTGGTGCGGGACTCCTTCTCCATGGTCCGTCTGAGAGCAGCCTGAGCAGGAGCCGTCATGGAGTCCGCCTCATCCAGGATGATGATCTTGAAAGGAGGACACGGCTTCCCACTGCAACCCAAGAAAAGAAAAGGGAACCATTTCCCTCATGGATATTCGCAAAAATAAAACTAATATAATTAAAACCACAAAAAAAACAACAACATTACAGCCTCTTCCAGGTCTGAGTTGGTCTAATGAGCTCAGAAGTGTTAAGTGAACACTGCTGTGGATGAACACCAACACACAACATGCAGCTTGTTGTTGTGTTTCCAACAAGGCTTCAGTTCATTGAGCTTTGCTGACATTTGTTCCTGCAGAGCTCTGAAGGAAGGAGCTCACTGGACTGCGACTGTCGGAGACTCCTTGTGACTCAAACTGACTAAAAAGGTGAATTTTTTTTTGTTCTGTTGCAGCGTCACTGAATGTTTGTGACTGAGTGACCAGCAGAGACGAGCTGCCAACTCACTTCCAGTTTTTAAATTCCCTCTTTAAACATATTTTTCCTTTTTGGCTTTTAACTCAGTCTGAGTTTTGTTTTTACAATTTTAACTGTGTGCAAAGTATGCCCCTTATTCCCCCCCCCCCCCCCCCACCTCTTGTTCTCCCAGTCTCTTTATTTATATTTGCGCAATAAAATATATATCCACCTTATTCCTGGGGCTTTACTGTATAAATGATTATGGGCACAACTTCCTGTCAGACACAGGAAGTAGCAGTAAGCATTGGCTAACAGCGGAGCACAGACCACGGTTTATTTGAAAGTAATTTGATTTCAGTTTAGCAGATAAAACAATGATTTTGTTTTGTTCACATTTATTTAACAACTGTAAAGTTGACTAAAATGGGCTTGCAGAGTTCAGGTACTTGTTGTGTTCACGGCTGCACAACCAGACTAAACTAAATCAGCGGCTACAACAGTGTTTTGAACATAGACACCCCAAAAAAGTGTTTATGTAAAAATCAGTATAGTTTCCATCACCTTCCTACAGATGAGGAATTAAGAAGAACATGGGTGAAAAATCTGAACTTGAAGAGACCTCCCAAAACACTGTATGTGAGCTCATTTCACTTTGTTGACTAACGGCCGACGGAGGAAAACCTGCATCCTACTTTGTGTCTGGACTACAACAAACCACTGGAGAAGAGACACCAGATCCTCAGAAAGATTGAAAACAGTGTGACGAGAACATCAGGTATGATTTCAAGTGTATGAAGGGCACAGCATTATAGTATTTGTTCGTCTTTGGTATTAAGATTTTCTCTGCAATTAACCCAAGCTCGGTGATGGAGGACTTCAAGGCTTTGGCTGGGCTCTATGTCTGATTTAAGGTACCAGTAAATAAGATTGTTTCCCACCTCTTTTAACAAAACGCGACCGACTTTATTACTGTGTAGATACCGAAACGTCTCGGAGCTTTTCAGGTTGTTCATCGCTTCACCGTCAGAAGAACTGAGTCCGTGAAATAGCTAAATATGCTGGTATATGTAATCTGCAGCCACTTTTTAGTAGGCTGCGGTAAGTGGTATGTAAGTACATGAACTCGTATTGTTCACACATAAACAAACGCTGATTCTGGTCCACGCTGGAAGTCGCGCCCATAATTCACGCAAGGCAGCATGGGGGCTAGGAATAAGGTGGATAAATAAACTTGTAAATACTATTAGACCATTAAAATTTACAGTTCAGTTTTTAAGTAAAAGTGAATAAATGAAGTTTAGGGTTTGTTCTGACACCAGGAAACCATGAAGCTGTTGCTTCATGTTCACATGATCCTAGAAACACAGGGTCCACGTTCTTCTGCACAAATTTCGAAACTCAGAAGGAAATTCCTTAGTTGCTTTAACATGATCTGACGAGCTCTTCTTGATTAAGTTGTTGATTTGTTAGAAAAACAAAGTATTTATGGTCGTTGAAGGAGACATCATGTCTGATGGTTGCTCCTCAAATGTTTGGGAGCTTTGATTAAATGCTTTCAGGATGTTCTTGCAGAAAAACCAGCAAGAAACTACATTTGTGCTTAAAGGTTCGTGTTCTTCACTCACTCCGGACGAGTCCCGGAGACGGTGAGGTGTGCAAAATTCTTGACTTTCTCTCTGATGACCTGGATGCCTCGTTCATCTGAGGCATTCAGCTCCAGTACTCTCTGCCTGTACAGCTCCGGACTGAGGAAAGAGCCGACACACAACACAGCAGGAGAATTATCCACGTGAAGCCTGAAGAACATTCTGGTACTAATCAACAGCAGACTCACCCATAAAGTTCTCTGGCAGCAGCTAAGATGGTGGACGTCTTTCCTGTTCCAGGAGGGCCGTAGAAAAGCAGGTTTGGGAGCTGAAACACCAGCAGAACTCTGGTGAAACACTTCTCTGGACAAAATAAGATCTAAGAACTTTGTGAAAAGCAAAACGTGTGCCACTCTCAAAACCTTTGGCCTGCACACTGAACTTAGTCTTTTATTGTGGTTTACGGTTTGCAGCTCAACATCTTGTCATCAAATGAAGTTCAAAGTTCAGGCGTGGAAGACAGAACTAGAGTGATGCTTACATCTGCTCCTTCCAAAGACTTCTTCAGCACGGCCACAACCTCCTCCTGGAAGGCCACTTCATCCACACTCTTCGGTCTGCTGGAGGGCAAAACATTTCAAAACACAGTGAGGTCATTTTTAAAACCGTTAATTCTGTTGGCACGTTCAAAAGCTGTTCTGTGAAATGGCCACGAAGAATGGAGCTGGCGGCCACTGACCTCCAGACATGGTGGGTTGGCTAAAACTCCCACGCTGCATTGAGCCATTTAGAAATGGCACCAAGATTGATACCGGTAATAATTTAGATATTTATGCTCTGAAAGACGTTAAGAACTCCGCTGTTCACGGACTGCAGCTGCTAGACCAGACTACAGCCGCTCCATGGTTCATCGAGTTCAGTAAAAGTACAAATGAAACACACGTGGAGAGTTTTAGAGGAATAAACATGCCTGACAACAACCAGCTTGTACAGGTTGACCAAAAACAAGGCATGATGTTCGGCTACTAGTTCTGGAGGTTCAGTGTGCTGGAGGGTCTTCCCAAAAGTCCAGACTGGAATAAAAAAATTATAATAATTGTCCAAATTCATTTGGGCATACAAATGGGGGAACAGTACATTAAATAAAGGTTGAATGAAAGAATTTAAAAAAATCCATTAAATAAATATTTTGTCAATTAAAAAAAAAAGAATTGAATATCTAGTTGTTTTAAAATTAAAGGCCCTTAAAGAGCTAAAAATGTTAAAAATAATAATAATTATTATTACAAAATAATAATAATAATTAATTAATGTTAATACTATTAATTATTATTATAAAATTAATACTAATTATTAATATTATAAAAATAAAATAAAAATCTGACTGATTGCTCTTAAATATTGACCAGCTCATTGTGGACAAATATATTGATTTTATTTTAAGCAGTTATAAAAGGTGGTGGACATTTCTAAGCAACACTGTAAAGGACCTTTTGATGATTAATAGAAAGTTTAACAGAAAGGTATCAAAGATCTCACATTCATGACAGTGAGCTTTAGGTGCAGTAAATGTAGCACGGCCCCCAGCATCAAGAAAACCAAGTTCCCAGAGTCAATCCTGAAATTTCAGAAGACATTTCAGTTTCATGAAATGCTCAGAAATCTGAACGGACGCTCTCCAGAGTCACATTGATGACAGGAAGTATTCTGCAGCCTATGGTAAGTGCATACAGCAATCATTCTTAATAATTCATTATATGGTTTAACAACAGAAACTACAATGCCACCATAGCAAATCACTAATCCATGTAACGGACTGTACTTATTTAGCGCTTTATCTCATCAAGATACTCAAAGCACTTTACAACACAATCTGTGCCTCATTTACCCATTCATACAGCAATCTACTATTTCTATACAAAGAATTATCAGTGTTATCACATTCATACACTGATGGGACACACATCAGAGGCAATGAGGGGTTCAGTGTCTTGCCCAGGGACACTTCAGCATGTGACTGTTGGTGGAATTGAACCCCCAACTCTTGCATTAGAGGACGACTGCTCTAACCACTCAACCACAGCAGTGTTTTGTAGAAGCAGAACATGGACTCTGAAGCCACAACACTAAAATAACACATGTACACATTAAAATCTCAGAAAGATCATGATTTAGTCAGCAGATCAGTCAGTGTTCACATTCCCTGAGTTTTCCCTGTCTGGAAAACATGAGTCATTTTCCAGGTTTTCCCCGATTTCCAGAGTCAAATGGGAACCCTGTGTAAAGCCACACAACACACGGGTCTGAGCCCCACTTACTATTTTTCCACCCAGGGAACAGCCTTGGTCTTCTTGTCTGCACTCGGTCCTGCTGCCGCCTTGTCTTTCTGAGGTCTGCCCGTCTGAAGTGTTGCTCCTTTTAAAAATGCCTGCATGACTGCTGACTTCAGGAAACACAGTCGGAACGAGCAAACACAAACATTTACATTAGTGATGAGAACATCACGTGCTGCTCCAAATAGTCAAAATACCTCAAGAACCACTAAAGGAATTTCATGTAAACTTTCAGGTAGTGATCACTATCCAGCTACAATTGATTAAGTTTAAAATATGGCCGCCACAACCAGCAGACCTAAAAAAAAACACCAAAATGGCTATAATTCAATGAATTTCACAGATACGTAGCTAAAGCTTGGTGCGGTAGTAACCACGCACTACCCCAAACACATAGTTGCACATTACGCTACATCTTTACTTAAGGCATTGGCATCATGTCTGTTAGCAAAATATCTGGTGAACCACTGCACACATTTTTGTAGGACTCTTAAGATGCACATGTCCAACTGAGACTTCTAGTGACAGATTTGATGTGATAGTTGCTGACATCTTGCACATTCTTCATTCAATGCTTGTGACCAACAAAAGCCACAAGCTAAAGCTACAAGCTAAACTCTGGGGAGAAAGGCAGCGGGCGACATGCATTCTTCCTTCAAGAAATGCTGGGGGTTTAATACGAGGCCAAAACTGCGGGCTGCCATCTCCAACCTGACCACTAGGTGTCGGTATTTGTCATACGGCGACTCTGTTTCTTTGTGTATAAATAAATTAAAAGATGAGGTCATTTAAAAACAAATTACAACAAAGACAACCAAATATTCTCAAATTAAACCTCCTAAAAACTTGACTTAGTGTGGCCCTTTGATTATTAATGACTTTTGTAGATTTATACCCCTTCCGTACGGTTGTTATTTGAGATACGTGCACGATTAGATGGCTAATGAAAGCACTTGAGGCCTATTTGCAGGAAGTATCCCGGGCCCGGTTCGGACAGAGGCTCTTACCAGAAGATTCACAGCCGGAGAGACGAACCACAGCGACCCTGGAGCCTGGTTTAAACTTTAGACTTCTCTGCCTCGACAGATTAGCTTCAGCTTGTCTGCAAACACGACAGTAATTCCCGCTCTGAAAGAGCGACGAAAAACTTCCGCTGACGTCATCACAAAGCGTCCAATCAACTGCAGCAAATAAACAAAATAAACTTGTAAATTATTGTCTCAGTGTTTGTAACCCCCTGGCGTCTGTTATATCATTACTGTATACTGCATTTTATTGTATTGTTTTGTACTTTTTCAATAAAGATAAAAAAATATATATATAAACCATTTTTTTTACGTCTACAGTCTACAGGCATGGGCCAATGAGCGAGGAGAAAGACGCCATCTTGAAGAAATTCTCTTAAAGGCATACCGCTGTGTAAACAATGTTGGACACTACTAAAGTAGTGTTTGTGATTAAAAAGAGACTTATTTTACATGTAGGCCTACTATATAATACAATTTCACAGATAGCCACCGTTATTACCAAAACAGTTTAATTTCTGGCCTTTTTAACAGACTTTTAAAGAGAGTCAGAGTTTCTTTATTGTCATTCGCACCTCATGTGGTACATGTGGTGGAGCGAAATTATGTACACCCTAATTATAAACCCTAACTCAGCTCTACGAACTGATCGACTGATCCATTAAAGATGGGATGAGTATAATTTTGCAATAATAATTTTGCCTGGTGGTACAGTAACTTAAAATGTTTGACAATACCAAAATAATAATTATCTACTCCATATTGAGATTCAGTTTTAGGTTTTCCTAAACACAATAGATCTATGTTCCCATATTCATGTGTCACATACAACAACACTTTGTTTCTGGAACAGATCTCTAAGCAGACAAAATATTCATAAAATGTCTGTTGCCTTTTTCTGTTGCAGTTAAAATGTGAATTACACCTTGTGGCGGTGTGACAAGCCCACCTTTATTCTTTAGTTCAAGCAGCTGATACAACTCATCATGCTGAGTTTGGACAGCAGCAGACACCAAAGATGCTTTACACACGTCACACATCATGACCTGACATCCATCCATCATCTTTACCCATTTCTTCCTTTTTTTGTGTGGGGGGGGGGGTCACGGGGATCACTGATGCCCATGTCCAGCAATCACTGTGTGAAAGGCTGGGGACACCCTAGACAGGTTGCAAGTCCATCACAGGGACACATAAAGACAAATGAGACAAACAACCATTCACTCTCTCACTCAGACATAGGGACAATTTAGAGTTACCAATCAGCCTAACATGCATGTTTTTAGCCTGTGCGAGGAAACTGGAGTACCTGGAGAAAACCCTAGCTCAGCTCTACGAACTGATCGAGCCATCGTGCCGCAACTGACACAACAAATCCTGCAATGTATGTTACGATGTTTATGTAAAAAGAGCACATTCTTGGAGAGATCCTATACTGTATGTGTGGTCTATGTTGTCAGTAAATGGTGACTATTGTTTCACGTTGCTTTGCATCTGTAACTCTCAGGTATTTATTGTGTGCTGTCCACAATGTCCACATTTCCACAGGCAGAAGGTGCTACTCGGCTGTGCACAATCACTTTTCAGATTATCATTAAACTTGGGTTGTTGTTAAGTCCACATACAAAACGAAGAGTAATCAGTCGCATTGTTGAAGAAACAATTTAATACACTAACATCAAGCCAGCCAGCTTTTGCAGTGTAGGAGAGCAATATCAATATAACATGCAAAAAATGTGTGTGTGTGTGTGTGTGTGTGTGTGCGTGCGTGCGTGCGTGCGTGCGTGTGTGTGTGTGTGTGTGTGTGTGTGTGTGTGAAATATATGTCAACCTCATCAAAAACCTAACTCTAATGTTTTATCAGCAGCTTTACCACATAAACCTGTTCCAGCTACAACTATCCTGATGGCTCAGAAACAATTTATTTCATGTAATGAACGCCATGTATACATTTAGAAATAGACAGGACAGAAACTCCTGTCTTACCATTGTTCTCCCGGTCTGGTCTCACACACTTGCTTCCCCTGTCTCTTACCAGGTGCCCCCACCAAGACCTGAAAGAATCACCTGGAGATGACGCTGCCTTTTCCTGAAGAAGACAGTTTACCTTGAGTGGACACTATTCCATTATTAAGTGGAAATCAGAGAGTCAGAGTCAGAGTTTTTTGTTTGTCATACACACCACATGTGGACATGTGGTGGAACGAAATTGTGTACACAGTGTCCCATGTACATCAAAAAAATATATAAAATGTAAAAGAAAAACTAATAAGAACTAAGTTATAAACTAAGAAAAATGTTAACTAAAAATATGTTAAATACTAGTAGTACAAAAACAATACGCCGAACAGCAGAACAAAATAATTTTAGTTGTTTAAACAAAGAAATCAACTATGTAGGTGTCACGGTATGGCCAGTCGATAGCGCTGTCACCTCACAGCTTTAGAGATTCTGGGTTTTTCCGTTCATCATCTCTCTTACAACTCCTGAGTGGCAGGGCAGAGCCAGTTACCACCAGCTGCCTTCCAAGAAGGGTTGTGGTACTTAAGGCTGTTTGGACCCACCAGTCTCCACTGGAACATTGACCATTCCATGGTACTGTGTCTGGTCCAAGTGTATCCTAGCCTCCTTGTGTTTACACTAACTTGTGTTCTTTGTGTATTCCTCGTAGCTCCTGTTACCAGTTACTCATTTAATTTGATCTGCCTTGAGCCTACTCCTGGTCTTTGTACTCCGCATCCTCCTGGGATCAATCCTCTGGAACAGCCAGCTACTAGCAAACCCATAATCAACATCCAAACATCTCTTAAATCAGCCTTAAGGTCTGTCCTGCCACTCTCACATTCCCTTCTCCCCTCACCTGATTATCTGTTTTTATTCCATCAGCCTGGAATCCTCTGGTATCCACCTCCAAGCCTGCAAAGAGAAAATACATCAAGTAAGCATTATCGTATTCTCTGGACAAAGCCACCATATTCTCATACTACTATTACTCACCATATCCCATCTCCTACAACTCCCTCCTGCACTCCTGTGACTTGTTCTTGTAAATAAAACACTTACCTGCTTGCAAACTATTTGGTCTCTCATGTTTCGGTTAAAACTCTGGGTATTGAAAACAATGAATGTGATATCTCCTGATAGCAACCTCTCGCACAGTGACTGCTGGACATGGGCACAGGTGACCCCCAAGACTCAAAAAGGAAGAAGTGGTTAAAGATGACGGATGGATGGATAAAACCAGTACAGTAGTCCCCCGTTTATCGCAGGGGATCCGTTCCCTGAAGCCACACGGACAAACTGCAAAGTAGCAATAGTATTACAAGTAGTAAGTAGTAGTTTATTTTAGTATATATATATATATATATATATATATATACATACATATATAAAGGTATTTAAATCCTTCCCGCATTCTTGCAATATTCTAAACAACGATTCTAAACTTTAAACACTCTAAAAGAGCACAGCATGTCATGATTTCAGCTCTCTGCCTCCTGCTGCACTCTCGGCCAAGCCCACTTCTCCACTCTGCACAGAGATCAGCTGATCATCTGCAGATGGAAGCTTCTCCCACAACTGTGAGCTGCACACAGGTGCAGCAGGTGCTAAGTCATTTAAAATAATTTATTTTAAATAAAAATTGCATGCCGATCGTGCGGCTCATCCATCAATCAGCCATTGTGTGCCATGTCCAATCTTACTTTGAAAAACCGCGATAGAGCGTGTCAGCGAAAAATGAACCGCGAAGTAGCGAGGAACTACTGTACATCATTTTAACTATAATCTTTAACCAGTTCAAAAGTGATTAATAAAAATGATCCTTCGTATGAAAATCTCGATCTTGCAGGCGGGGCTCAGCCCCCCGTGTTTGAACATCCTAACTACACCTCTGATTAAACTCCAGACCTGTGCAGGGTTCAGGACAGCCCACATTTTGAGCCATGCCCTGTGTTCTGATGACTGTGTCTGGCAGCTGCACTGATACTGACACTAATGTTCTGCTGGGCCCGGCAGCGCAGATGTCTCAGGCTAATTGCTTCACTCTCCACACTCCCAGGGGATCAGGGCCCCTGAGAGGAGCAGGCTCCTCCTCCGACATAGACTGTGTTCATGAAAATATGGAGCAGGATCAGCAGCAGGCCTTCGGACGCTCTCAGGGAAACAGGAAGTGTAACCTAACAGACCTTAGACAACACTCGGCTGTGGTAGTAGCTGAGAGTGATTTGAAACGCATGTTGTTTAAATCCCTTTGTGTTTTGCTCCTTTAACAAATCCACTGAATCTGGCTGAGCTCAGTGGTTCGGATCATGGACTCAGCTCCAGGCTCCAGGATTTCTCTGGTGGACTCGT